AGGCCATGGAAGGAAGGCTCGGATCGCTCAACGAGGGCCAAGGCAACACCAACGCAGCCGTGGCACGACTCGAGCAACAACTAGACGAGATCTTACGCGGGCTCCACTAGCAGCGACAGATTGATGGTGAATCTGTGATAGCGGTTCTTGTCTATTTGCTTGTGAGTAATTTCGCACTCAGGGCCTTCGACTACACACGATAGGTGTGACCAACAGACGCACTACGGCCTTCTCCTAGACACGTGTGACTTCAAGACGCTCTCAGGATCTTCTCTCCGACACGATTTGTATGATAAACACGCACTAATGGCCTTGCTTAAAAACACGAAAGAACACAACGTTCCCCTTTCTATTCACTCATCAATTCTCGACCTTCTTAATAATGAAGAGGTACATGGGTATTTATAGGTGCATAGAGTAAATCTAAGCTTAACCAAACTAGAACTCCTAAATCTTGCAATAATAGAAATCCTAATACTAGAAAGCAATAAAATCCTAATATTACTATAATTCCTAAAGACTTGACTTGCACTCCAATTTACTTGAAGCCCAAGTAATTCGCACGCCTAAGAATCTTAGCCGCCTCATGTGCGCGCGCCCTCTCGCCTAGTCCCTCGTGGTTAAGGCTTCGCGCGCCCGCACTCCACGCTTCGCCCCTCTCGCGCGCCTGCTGGCCGCCGACTTCCTTGCGCGAGTGCGCACCATCGCCCGGTACTCTTATGCCCGCTCGGTCGAGGACGCCGCCCGCGTCACTTCCACTTGCGCGCCCAACGTGCCCCGTCAGCTCTTCGCGAGACTCCCAGCGCGTCCCGCCAACGTCCGCGCACTGCTTGCCTGCCGCGCATCTATATGCACCCCTTGTTGCCCCGCGTTCGTTCCACGCCCAAGGCGCGCTATTGCTTGTTGCCCAATTGCGCGCATCATAGCCCGATGCGTGCCATTCGCATTTTAGCTCCCCATCTTCACTAGTCTTGCCGGTGCTGATCTTCACTTTCGTATCATTCCCCTCCTCTTCAAGACTTTCCTTGTCCTCAAGGATAATAAAATTCAGCTTTCGGACTTGACCATCACCTTCATCCTCGTCAGGTGACTCACTTGGATCCTCAGTCGATCACCCAAACTCCATAGTTCCTCTCCAATAATCAGTTGTGATTGGACCAAGAGTCTCCAACCACTGGCATCCAAGTACTACATCAGTCGCCTTCAATGGCAAGGCATACAGATCCACTCTCATCTTCTGACCTTGAGCTTCCATCTTTACACCTTTGAAGAGAATATCCCCTCGAAGTGTTTCTCCGTTGGCTACTTTGACTCCAAAAGGCTTAACCTTTGTGAATGGAATCTTGATCTCTTTGGATAGCTCCTCATCAATGAAGTTCAGCGTAGATCCGCTGTCAACCAATACCTCCACCAATTTACCTCTAATCTCAGCTGTGAATGTGATCATCTTCGGACCACGCATTTTGCACTTAACCATATGCAACAAAGACTCCTCCTGTGGCTTTTCCTCCTCACCAACACAATCCTCCTCAAATTCCAACAGAAAGACTTCCTTACCTTTGCACTTGTGGCCTGGCGTGAATTTTTTGTTGCACGTGTAGCATAGGCCCTTTCCCCATAGTCGTTGCATCTCGTCATCTGTAAGCCGCCGCACATTGCTCGTTGTTCGCACCACATCGCCCAACGGTCTGTTCTCGGTTCGTGGCCCTTGTTCCTCGGTCGTGGCGTGCGTGCGCCTAGGATCCACGCACGTCGCTCGGCCTCGCCTTGCGTATTGCTACGAGATGATCCTCGTGAAACCTCGCCGACTCCATGGCTGCTCGCATCGATCTCGGCTTATCCATTCTCACCTCAGCTGCTAATTCTGCTTCCAATCCTCCAACAAACGCCCCAACTAGCGCACTCTCGGGCCAATCCCGCACCCTACTAGCAATGCGCTCAAATTCCTTTTGATAGTCCCGCAAACTACCAACTTGCTTAATT